TTCTTTGGGATTGGAATGAAAACTGACCTTTTCCAGTCCTGTGGCCACTGCTGAGTTTTCCAAATTTGCTGGCATATTGAGTGCAGCACTTTCACAGCATCATCTTTCAGGATTTGAAATAGCTCAACTGGAATTCCATCACCTCCACTAGCTTTGTTTGTAGTGATGCTTCCTAAGGCCCACTTGACTTCACATTCCAGGATGTCTGGCTCTAGGTGAGCGATCACAACATCGTGATTATCTGGGTCATAAAGATCCTTTTTATACAGTTTTTCTGTGTCTTCTTGCCACCTCTTCTTAATATCTTCTGCTTCTGTTAGGCCCCTACAATTTCTGTCCTTTATTGAGCCCATCTTTGCATGAAATGTTCCCTTGGTATCTCTAATTTTCTTGAAGAGATCTCTAGTCTTTCCCATTCTATTGTTTTCCTCCATTTCTTTGCATTGATCACTGAGGAAGGCTTTCTTATCTCTCCTTGCTATTCTTTGGAACTCTGCATTTCTGCATTTGGAACTCTCCTTTTCTCCTTTGCTTTTTCACTTCCCTTCTTTTCACAGCTATTTGTAAGGCCTCCTCAAATAACCATTTAGCTTTTTTGCATTTCTTTTTCTTGGGGATGGTCTTGATTCCTGTCTCCTGTACAATGTCACAAACCTCCATCCAGAGTTCTATCAGGCACTCTATCAGATCTAGTCCCTTAAATCTATTTCTCACTTCCACTGTATAGTCCTAAGGATTTGATTTAGGTCATACCTGAATGGTCTAGTGGTTTTCTTCACTTTCTTCAATTTCAGTCTGAATTTGGCAATAAGGAGTTCATGATATGAGCTACAGTCAGCTCCCGGTCTTGTTTTTGCTGACTGTATAGAGACTCTCTATCTTTGGCTGCAAAGAATATAATCAATTTGATTTCAGTGTCGACCATCTGATGATGTCCAAGTTACTAACCACATAATCTTATTTAACCTGCTGGTCTTGCTTTCTTCACCAATAATATGAAGATAATAAGAGTACTGACTTCATAAGGTTAGTGTGAGGATTAAATTATTTAGAAAAATATTTGCCCAACACATACAAACCAATCAATAAAGCTAGCTGATTTTTATGGTATTAATAAAACAAGAAAAATAACCAAAAAATGGGCAAAGAACATAAAACAGAAAGGGAAATGCAAAGGGCTAAACAGTACTATATGAAGATATTCTAAATGTATTAACAATAGAAATATGCAAATTAAGCAACTAACTGCTACTTTACCACCATTAATGTGGCAAAAAATTAGAAAAACAGATAAAAACAAACATTGGTATATCCTCTGTTGATAAAGGGAATTTTCATCAGGTGTTCTTGGGGAACGTAAACTGGTTCTCCCATGCCAGGAGGAATCAGACAGTCCTAGGAGATATTAAATATGTATATATCCAATGGCCCAACAGTCCAACCCCACACACATTCAGGCAGACACATCTGAGGCTATTTACAGCAATAACGTTTGTGAGAGCAAAAAGCTGGAACCAAACGGGGTGTTCCTCTCTAGAGAAATGTATAAGTTGTAAGGTGTACCCTTTATGGAATATTCCACAACAGAGAGAAACAATAAATTGTATCTTGCTTGTCTATTTGCTCAGGAAAAAATCCTAAATGTGAAATTGCTGGGATAAAAATATATACATCTTTTTAAAAATATTTTCAGACACACTGGCAAAATTACAATTGTTTGGCATGGAGTAAATGTTCCCAATTTATGCAAAACCCCTCCACACCTGATCCTCATTTTTCTTCTCCACCTTTGCCAGTCAGATAAGTAAAAGATAATGTTTCTTTGTTTTAATTTGCATTTTTTCACTCACAAGCAAAGTTAAACCTGTCTCAAGGTTACTTGGTCATTTGAATTCTTTTGTGTATTTTTTATTATACGGTTAGCACAATTTTCTATTAGATTCTTCAACCTTCCACTGATACATGTGGTGGAAACTTAGTTCTTGACTCAGCTGATAACCCATGTCTTCACCCGCCACTTCCCATATTCCTTGCTACCAGCCTATTGGGCTTTATCCAGGATACAAAGGCAGATGATAACATCCTTACTTCAGTTAGGAGTGGGTGGCCAACAGCAGCTGAAAAAAGAAAACCTTAGATAGGGTTTTTGGAGAATATTTCCTATGCCCCCTAATAAAAAGAAATGCTTGTGATGAGACTTGTTGTCTTCATTATTGTCACGTCTTCATCTTCAGCCATGATGAAGAAGAAAATCTTGCCATTTAAAACAACGTGGATGAATCTGGAGGACATTGTGCTCCGTGAAACAAGCCAGACACAGAAAGACAGATACTATATAGTATCAATCATATGTGGAACCTTAAAAAATTGAACTTATAAAAGCAGAGAGGACAATGATGGTTGTTGGAGGCTGGCAATGGGAAAAAGGAGAGATGATGGTCAAAACAGATTTTCCGTTATAAGATGAACAAATTCTGGGGGGCCTAACGTACACCATGATGACTAAGTTAGTAATGCTGTATTGTATATTTGAACTCTGCTAAAAGAGTAGATCTTAAGTGTTTTCACCACACACACAAAAAAAGAATTAGGTGAGGGTAACTATAGAAGGTGATAGATGTGTTTTAATTAACTTGACTGTGGTGATCATTACATAATGTGCGTACTCAGTGGTGTCCGACTATGAGATCCTATGGACTGTCGCCTGTCAGATATCTCTGTCCATGGAATTTTCCAGACAAGAATACTGAGTGGGTTGCCATTTCCTACTCCAGGGGATCTTCCCAACCCAGGAATGGAACCTGTGTTTCCTTCATTGGCAGGCAGATTCTTTAGCACTGTGACACCTGGGAAGCCCATTCACAATGTATATGTGTATCAAAACATTGTTTTATAAGTTCAATATATATAACTTTCGTTTGTCAACTATACTTCATAAAGCTGACATAATTTTTTTTAAATTTTAAACTTAAAAGTTTTAAATTCAATTTAAAAAAGGAGAGAAATGAAAACAGGGGATTAGATGAAGATTGATGGAAGTCAGGGTGGTAACTTTAGCTATAGGAGTCTGGAAAAGTGAACTCATTTTTTTTTTCTTTGTTTCTTTTTATTTATTTTATTTCTAATTGGCAGATAAATGCTTTACACTATTGTGTGAACTCTGAACAGCGGCCTAAGAAGCGTAAATAAAGAGTAGATATGTGGACTGTAGCTCACCAACGGGGCTCCTCTGTCCATGGGATTCTCCAGGCAATAATACTGAAGTGGGTTGACATGCTTTTCACCAGGGGATCTTCCAGTCCCAGCGATCAAACCTGCAACTCAACATCTCCTTCATTGGCAGGTAGGTTCTCTGTTACCACCACTATCACCATCTGGGAAGCCCTAAAAAGAGTAGATATAAGATGATGAATCCTAGAATTTACTCTATGACATTTTGCCTTTGGTCAACATACTTTTCGAACACTTTCAAACTTGTTAAGAGGGTAGATCTTGTTTTAAATGTTTTTATGACAGTAAAAAAATAAATTTTTTAAAAAAGAAATTCACAAAAGCAATGCTAAAGCTAATAGACATACGAAAAAAACCTTCATCTTCTCTGATAGAGAAACACAAACTTAAACAACACAGTCTTCCCTGGTGGTCCAGTGGTTAAGACTCTGTGCCTCCAATGCAGGGGGTGCAGACTTTATTCCTGATCAGAAAACTGGCCCCACATGCCACTTGGTGTAGCTGGAAAATAAAAAAGAAAAGAAAGTAAATAATGAGAAACTACTTTTTAAAATGTATATTCATTTGTTTTTACATTATGTACATGTATATCTGTATACAAATACTGTAAAACATTTATTGAAATATAAACTGGACACTGATCTACATATATATATACACATATGTTTATATGTGGGGGTTTTTTTACAAATTCTAGCCTCTTTTTTTTTTACTTTATTTGTAGAAACTAATTTCATATCCATTATATTTGTAAAATTTTTAGAGTGTGATAACACTGAGTATTGGAACAATGGGAACAAATATTTCATGTGTGTCCCCAGTGCGGAGCATTTGGTTGAACCATTTTTTAGAACAGTTTGACAAAGTGTATTAAAGACGAAGGCTTCCCTGGTGACTCAGCAATAAGGAATTTGCATGCAATGCAAATATATCCTGTTAAACAGGATTATTAACAGGAGATGTAGGGCCAACCCCTGGATCGAAAAGATCCCCTGGAGAAGGAAAAGTAACCCTCTCCAGTATTCTTGCCTGGGAAACCCCACGGACCTCTGTAGCCTGGCGGCTACAGTCCACGGTGTTGCAAAAGAGTTGGCCATAACTTAACAGCTAAACAGCAACAACAGTAAAAGTTGAAGATGCTCACATCACACAACCTGACAACTCTAACCCATGGACAGAAAAAGACAGGAAACAAAGGAACAAAAATATTCTTGTAGTAAGGCTAGTACGTGAAAGAAATAGAAAACCAAATATCCATCAACAGGGGAATAAGAATAAATTGGTTATGTTCATACAACAAGATCCAGGACAGAGGTTTAAATAAATGAACTAGAAGTACACTTATCACCAGAATTAAGTCTCAAAGATATAACATAGGAGACAAAAGTATGAGACCACTTGTATGAAATTTAAAATCCGTAAAGCCAGACTTTAGAATACTAGTGGAAACATTTTATGTAATAAAAAAAGTTAAAATCCTAAAAGAGAGGAACAAGCAATTAATGAAACTGGCTAGTTCCTGATGGAAAGGGAGAAGAGTCAAAATTCAACCAATATTTACCGTTTTGGCATTTTATTATTATTAAATTCACGTCCTGTTACTCTATGTTGTGGCTTCCCTAATAGCTCAGTTGGTTAAGAATCCACCTGCAATGCAGGAGACACCGGTTCGATTCCTGGGTGGGGAAGATCCTCTGGAGAAGGGATAGGCTACCCACTCTAGTATTCTTGGGCTTCCCTTGTGGCTCAGCTGGTAAAGAATCTGCCTGCGATGTGGGAGAAGGGAAAGGCTACTGTCTCCAGTATTCTGGCCTGGACTTCATGGGGTCACAAAGAGTTGGACACGACTGAGCGACTTTCACTAACACGTGTTCACTATATTATTCTGTTTTTGTACGTTTATTTGAAGTGTTTCACAAACTAGATTAATTGCAATCAGTAAGACCTATAACAAAATGATCAAAATGAAATCCTCAGCATCCCTAAATTTCACACATGAAAATCTAACTAAGAGCGCCCTCTGCTGCTGTATGTGAGCTATGGCCAACAATTTACAGGAAAAATCAGCCCTGAAACCAGAAAGGTCTCCCTCACACTTCTTTCCACTCCAGCAAGAAGCAGCTTGTGCACCAGAAGTATTAGGTTTGGGAACCAGAGAATATGGGAAAAAACAGAGTTTTGGGAGATTATTCTCTAAGAGGGATTTTTCCCAGGCAGATGAGGAGCCAGTAACTTGAGGAAAGTTATCTGCAGCGCATACATCTGTTTAGGGACCTCTGTAAGGCAGTGTGTCTAAGGCAAGAGAATGCAGATCAAGGGGTGGGCCAGAAGGGGGACACTGACTGAATGAGGATCAAGGCCAGGATTGAGCAGCCAGTGGTCTGAGAGAAATCTGATTCAATCTCTCTATTTGCAGTGAGGAGTTTGAGCTTTGAAGATGAAGAGTGTCTCTTCCTGGGTCACCCCCCAGGGAAAGTGGAACCAGGCATATGGTGGTACTCTGTCCTCATGCATGAGCCCTAATCTACCTCCCTGATCCTATCCCTGGAGGCTACACTCAAGCCCAGTTCGCGTGCACTCCTTCCCCCACCATCTTCACCATCACCCATCTCAGTGGCAGGAGGGGTTGTAACAGAAGTGTTCTCCCAGGTTAGCTCAAAACTCAGAACTGCCTAGAGTTTTGCACTAGAAGGACATTCTCCCCAGAGAGAGGCAGCTGGACACGGTGGCCTGCCAAAGATATTTGCCATGGTGTACATTCCTATTGCTGCTATAACAAATCACTGCAAATTTAGTGGCTCACAACCACACAAATCTTATAGTCCTGGAGATCTGCTGCCTGAAATTGGGCTCCATTCAAGGCATCAGCAGGGCTGTATTCTTTCTGGAGGCTATGAGAAAATTTGTTTCCTAGTCTTTTCTGACTTGAAGAGGTTGCCCACATTCCTTGGCTCATGGCCCCATTCTTTCAGCAAAGCCAGCAGTCACATCAGTCCAACCTCTGCTTTATATCTCCTTCTCTGACTCTTCTGCCTCCTTGTTTCATTTATAAGGACCCTAATGATTACATTGGACCCACCCAGGTAATTCGGGATGATCTCCCATCTCAATGTCAGTTGGTAGTAAACTTAATTCCAGCTGAAACCTTAATTCTTACTCTTTACCATGTAATGTAATATACTCAGTTTCCAGTTCAAGACGTGGATATCTGGGAATAAAGGGAGCCTTATCCTGGCTGCCACGCCCAGTCACAGCCAATGCTGACTTGAAGAAAACCTGCACCCTTCAACTCATGTCTCCATGGACCCTTAACCTTCCCTAATACTCCATCATCTCTCTCTTTCTCTCTCCCTCTGTCTCTTACACACACACACACACACACACACACACACACGGTCTAATTTCAGAGAGACAAGAGTGCCAAGAGAGAAGAATTAGCTCTGAGCCTGGGAAGCTTGGGGAAGCCACAGAGGAGATGGCCGTTATGCAGAATCTTGAGAATGGGTAGTGTTTTGATAACAGAAGAAAGAGGAAAGAGCACTTCAGGGAGAAGGGGTAGAATAAGTAAGGGCCAGGAGACGGGAACATCCTTGGAATGTCCAGAAATAACTGAATGTGTCCACTTCACGTTCCCAAAGGTGGAAATGGAATCAGGTTATGAAAAGCCTGGAGTGCTGATGTGAGTGGGTGCCCTGACTTCTAGTGTCTCTGTGTTTCCTTACTGCCACCTCTTATCCTGAAGCTGGCACAGGGCGAGTCTCAAGACAGGAGTTTCAGGAAGGGCTTCCTCCTCTGTCCCTTGTAGACAAGGCCCAGGACCCCCTGAGAACCCAAGGGCAGGAGTGTTTTCTACCTGAGCAGGCTGTGGATGGGCCAACTCTCCTGAGACCCTTTCCCCCTAACTGTGCCTCTCTCTGTTGTGGAGTTGGTTCCTTTCTTTGTCAGTTTACTTTTTCAGAACTGGCGGTGGGATGCTGCTTGGAGAAGGGCAGAAAGCAGGAAGGATCGCCACCTAGAATTTCAGGAATCATAAAAGGGATCAAAGAAGTTGCTTCATCCAGGTTTTTCCCCCAACACTTAGGTCTTCTACCATCCTACGGGGACCACCATGGTATCCTGGCCCTTTCACAAGCTTGCTCCACTCTTTCTCCTCTCAGGGCTCCCTGGGACATTGCCACCTTATTCCGCCTCTCCTTTCTCTGCTGACAAGCTCCAGACCAACCATTCCTCAGGCCTGTTCCTCCAGGAAGATTTCTCAGATTATTCCCACACTCTCCAAAGTCTGAAGATTCCTCTGGGATCCCATTGACTTTTTAGGACTTAAATTTTTTGTTTGCAACACATTAATTAGCCAGCAACATTGTTGTGGTCAAGTCCAAGAGAATGTTGGTTAAGTGAAGAAAGTCAGTTAATCACTTTTCACAAATAAATCAGAATATTTCATGAGTGTGATGGAGGACCTGGCAGGCTACAGTCCATAGGGTCTCAAAGAGTCAGACACAACTGAAACAGCTTAGCATGCGTGCATGCATGTGGCCAAAGAAGTTGAGATGAAACATTAGAAATGAGGGGGTCAAAGAATTCGGCAACTCCAGAAAAATGCAAATTGTCTGGGATGTTAGTAGGATGTGGGATAGGAAGCTACACTGATCTAGGAACCAAAATCTTAAAAGGAAGATTCATTGCGGGGAGGTGAATGGATGAAGCAATGAGGAGGGGTAGCCAGAGGGTCTGGAAACTGCAGTGCCGACTCGGAACCAGCATGTCTGTGGGCTCCAGCTCCCAAGCCTGGGGGGCGGACTGCCAGTACAGCGGAGTGGGCTGCGCCTCTGGTACCTCCCGGGGAAGAGGGGGTCCTGAGAAGCTCGTGTTCTGTTTATGGTTTTCTATTTGGATGACTTCCGCTTTGGTATCTACTAATCCCCTCCTACTCTCTTTTGGTTTGTTTGGCTCTTACAGCTTAATCTCTAAATTAGATGTTTTGTTCCTTTACTTTCCATGTGTCTCATTTTGCAATAAAAGTTGCCAGGAGTGAAGAATTCTCTGAGAACCACATGGACTGCAACTCATAAATTAGATGTGAATTGCTCCTGTTGTCAGTTTTCAAAGAGCCTGTAGTTGAATGCCTAGTTTTCCTTTTGACCAAGAGATGTTGATATTTAGAAAACTGCTTAAAAAAAAATATTTCCTTGCAAATCAAAACCACAGTGAGGTACCATCTCACGCTAGTCAAAATGGCTGCTATCAAAAAGTCTACAAACAATAAATACTGGAGAGGGTGTGGAGAAAATGGAACGCTCTTAACACTGTTAGTGAGAATGCAAACTAGTACAGCCACCATGGAGAACAGTGTGGAGATTCCTTAAAAAACCGGAAATAGAACTGCCATATGACCCAGCAATCCCACTGCTGGGCATACACACTGAGGGAACCAGAATTGAAAGAGACACGTGTACCCCAATGTTCATCGCAGCACTGTTTACAATAGCCAGGACATGGAA